CGCCGTCCCGCCGGACCAGGTAGGCCGGGGCCCCGCTCCCGCTGCAAGCGCCGGCTCTGCCCCGGCCGCGGGGGGGCGCAGCCCTCGTGTGTCGCCGAGGGGACCCGCCTCCCCTCCGCCCGTGGGGGTGCTGGCTGCGGGCTCCCCCGGGTGTTGCCACAGCCCCATCTGCCAGCTCGCCAAGGCCTCCTCGCTTTGGCTCCCGGCTGCAGGGCCGTGTTCACGTCCCTCGTCTCTGCATGGTTTTGGGCAACATCCACCGGTTCCTCACAGCACCAGCGAGCTCTGCCCGTGCCCCCCTCGCCCCCGCCCGGCGCACGCGTTTGAAACCGTTGTCCTTCCCTCCCGCCCCTGTTTTGTATTTGATTTGTGCCGAGCCGTCACGGGTGTGCCCTTGGAGACCCTGCTTTATTAAGGGGAGGTGTTTAGCTGTACTGGGCGGGTGGGCACGGGTAGCGCAGGCCTTGCGTGCTACAACTTTTGCTCGCATCCCGCGTCCCGCCTGCAGAAAACCTCTCCGGCCGGAGCGCGTCGGCGGCCTCCGGGGCTGTCCCTGCGCCCGCTGCGGCCGTGGGTCTGCGAGGACCCGTGCTCAGGGTCAGGCCTGTGGACAGTGTGACAGGTTGTTGTTGCTAGAAAATGGTGCCTATTTCTGTATGGCGGGGTTTCCTTTGTTATTCATGCTGACTAATCCCACGATAAGCGTGTCCTGGGCTGGGGGGAGGATGAGCTGCTTCCTGATCTGGGCGTGGGGACGCACTCCTTTGAAAACCCCCTTTCTGGTGACAGTTCTCTCCAAGCAAGTCGTTTTGCTTGTTTCTAAAGGGAGGACAATAGGAGACCAGGCTGTTTTGACTGCAGGCTAAAATGTCTGAGTCAGCTGATTCTCTTTTGGGCAGGCTGCACAGGGCTGTGTCCAGATAGCCAAAGTCATATGGCGTGGGAGAATCAAACAGAAGGGAGGAAAAAAAAACAACCCAGCTAACATCCTGAAATCTGTTATTGCAAACATAGGGGCAGGACACCTAGCATCACAGCTGAATGCCAGACCTAAGGCTGCCTGGCTAATAGCAAGCTGTCATTAGCTGTTCACATGTTGATGTATTCACAGTCATAGATCTGAAAAAAGGCAGACAGATAGAATGTCAGATGTTAACGATTCTTTATCATTCTGATTAAGCCATGCCAGGAATCTAGCTGAAAAATGCATACACGTAAAATGTGTTGCTAGTCTGATGGGTTTGTAATAGATGAACCCCTTCTGCTGCACCTGAAGATGTTAGACAGCCTTATTTACCGCTTGGAAAATTTCAGTTGGTAATTTTTTTATTCTCACTGATGTATCTAGCACACCCAGTTTAAAACTCCTGCAGTTGCATTGAACAGGAGGAAATATGCTCCCTGGTTGCATGGGCTGGAAAGCCATTAAAGGATCCTTGTAGTAAACAACTGGGTAGATACACAATGACAGGCTATAAAAGTCCTTTGAGTTGGTTAATATTCAGATCTCGTTTGTAGTGAAACACAGTCATGACACAATGCAAATAATAACCATCTGTCTAAATAATAGTCTTGAAATATGATGTATCAGTACCCACAGAAAATCAGTTATCGTTACTTGCCCTGGATATTTAAAGCCAGTTGAAGTATCAGGTGGTTTAGTAGTAAAAGGACACTATGAGGATATTTTTGCAAGAGCTTTTCTTTCAGTGTTGTATATCTTGGCTTCCTGCCTAATGCTGATTGTCATGTCAATTTACTGTCTTCATATGTTGTCATTTTGCGGACTTAGGAGTTGACAGGAGGGAGTGATTGAAATGGATTTTCCTCACCTTTATGGCTATAAACTTAGTAACCCTTTGGCACCTGAAACTACAGCATGTTACCTAACTAAAAATGCTCTCATTTGGGGTTGGAATGGTGATACAAGCACGGTGGAGTTAGCACACAGTCCCTGTGTTGCCTCATTCCTATTAACACCTGCTAACCTACTGAGTTGTCCTGATTAGCCACAGGGAAGCTGGAAGGGATTTCTAGCATGGAGTGTATACAGAGATGGTGCATCCACATACAGGAAAGTGCTGGAAAATGCGTCGTCTTGTTTGCATGTTTTTTCATTTAGTTTTTAAGGCCTTCCCCCCCAAATAGCAAGACACTTTGGATATCTCTGTCTTTTTTGGAGTGCCTGGCTGAGACAACTTACTATTTCTGTGCCCATTCTCTTATCTGTGTATTCCTGAAGGTAGGAATAGTTATATGATTCCTAAGGATCAGTTACCCTAATACACAGACTATTGCTGTACTCTGCTGTAATTCCAGATAATACCATGGTGTACTTCTAGGAGTATTGGAAGATGAACCATTACTAGGCTATTTTTGGAACGGTAGTTAATTTTAAAAGTACATTTAATAGTAATAATGTGTTTTAAGCATTATAAAGGTAGTAGTGTGTGATGGGATATGGTAAGGTGAGGTTGTTGTGGTAATAAATAATAATGATACTTTGCTTGTGTTAGTAGTGTCTAAGGTTTCTGGTGTTAAGTTTCAGGTTCCATTAAATCTATTTTATTTTTAATTTGAAATTTATAGGAATACTGTCAACTTGAAAAATTACATTTCTCTAAGAAAATATCCTACCTATTATGGTTAGAGCATCACCATTGTAACTGAAATATAATTAAACTGAAGGAGATTAATGGTCATTACTGCGGGGAAAATTCATTCTTGCTCCAGTTCTGAGCTTGAGACCAGAGGCATAGTTAGCTGTGTTAGTCCTAAATCAAGAGGAAGGCAGAGTAGATTTACATCAGACAGACTAACCAAAGTAGATATGAGTATTACATATTTCATATGTATACTTTAGTATCTACTTTGGTTCATCTATAAGATACAAATCTACCCTGCCTTCTACTTGAGACAGGAACCATGGGTAGGAAGGCACAACCTTCTCTGTGCTGATTCAGCCCCCCAGGGTGGGTTAGAGCATTACAGAGGATTATGCTAAATTGTTTCTAGTTGTAGGGTGCACCAGGAAATAGCTGGAGGGAATGCTCCAGTCAGGCCAACTTCTGCTTGCCAGAGTACTCCTGCACCCTACCAGTTACAGCAGACATCAGTGCTGGGACAGCTGTGGGATGTCCCTGGAGGGTTCCCCCAGATCCAGGGACAGTCCTGTGGCGGCAGGTTCCCTTCCAGTTGCTTTGTGATTGCTTTACACTGGCTCTGCCATGAATTCTCCCCACATTTTTATTTGACAGCATCTTGTATATCACTCATTTCTCTTTACAGGTAGTAACTTCTTGTTGTTTATGTGGTTCTTTTGGGTGACAGGGGAGAGAAAAACATTTACAAATGAATAAATATGAATGCAAATTAACAGAGGGACTAAGGCAACTCTCTAATAACTTCTTTAACTCTTTTTGTTTTGGATTAAGAAGTCCAGTGCTGTGTTGATCAGCATGGTATAATCCCAAGGCTGGATTTAAAAGTTAGTGCTCTTTTACAGTTAACTTGTCTGTAAATGGTGCAATAAAGTTAGAGCAGGGGTTGTCAGCTGGGGGTACCCATACCCCTGGGGGTACTTTGAAAGGTCCCAGGGGGTACGTGGGGGCAGGTGGGCTTGAGCACCTCCACCCCGCGCTACTCTCTCTCAGGAGCAGGGCCTAGCAGGGCCGCACCGTGCTGCCGCTGCTCCACAGCTTGCCCCCCTCCCACTGCCTGTGCTCCGCATCCAGCCGCTCACATCTGGCCCCTTACCACCCCCTCCCCACTCTGCATCTGGCTGCTCGCCACCCCCCCCCCCCCGGGGTACACTTATTAAAAAAGGTTGAAAATCCCTGAGCTAGAGCATATGTATAAGGCAGAAAATCATATTTTTGTCTCTTCTCCAGGTCTGCATACCATACAACGCTCATTAGTATTTAGTGCAAAGAAAGATGGCAAGATAGATGACAAGGATTGTGGTTAGCATTGCAGTTAGCATTATTGAATAACATCAACACTAGACTTCATGTCATTGTGTAAAGATGCAAAATACAAGTATTGGGTTTTTTTGGGATGAGGTTGGGTTTTCTTGAGATTTTCATGTCCCAATCAGTTGTGGTTACTGGAGTGATATTTTTTTGTTTTTTGTATTTGAAATCAATTACAACCAGCACAGACTCTTTAAAACTTAATTAAATAAATGCATTGGCTAAGCAAACACCATGTCCACTTTAAAAGAATGATGGTTCCAAGAACAACTCAGGGACTCTTACAAACATTGTCTTAGGTACACAGACAGAATGTGTGCCACAACATTTGTTCAAGGGTATAGGTTGTAGCCGTGTTGATCTAAGGACGTAAATAGACAAGGCTCTTTGGGCTGCTCACTATGTGGAGCCTCAGTCTGCCTCCCCATGCCTCTTCCCTCCCCCCTGCCTCTTCCTCCTCCACGGACATCTCTCCAAGCTGCTGGGCTGCATATCAGCTATCAGAATGTATTGGCTGGTAATAATAGGCCGTCGGTATCGGCCAAAAAAATCTTTATCAGTGCACCCCTAGCTTATACAATGTTTTGAGTGTATAAAATGCTGTGAGTACAAAGCAGTGTTATTTTCAGCACTCTAGTGTTCAAAGGACTTCTCCCTACAAATGCTACAAATGAAAGCAGATGTTGCTTTGTGTGTTTCACCTTTGGCCTGTACAGGTAAGCGGAGCAGGCTCCTCTCCCTTTCCACTGTCCTTTCACTGTGCACTGGAGAAGCCTGCAAAAATTGTTTACCCGTAAATATTTGTTTAAACTTAACTAAACCCACTGCAAACATTTGGGTGCTTGTTTTGCACTGACCCATTCAGTGCATGAGCTTTGTCACTTCCACATGGGGACAAGAAGGGTTGCTCAGGGACTAGATATAAAATCCTGGCCCCTTTAAAATTCAATGGAAAGATTCCCTTGACTTGGGTCCAGGAGCTCATGCTCAGACTTTTGATTTCTGATCATTTCAAAGAGAACATCCTGAGGCAGGGATTCCTAAATTATGGTCCAGCCTGCTGGGGCTCTGTGGACCTGTGGGGATGAATGCAGAGCAGAAACCAAGAGAGAATTTTGTCCTGCTAGGAAGTTTCAGTTGCATTTATACCCAAAAGCTTGCAAAGAAGAATCTTTCCAACTGTTTGAGTTGGTCTAATAAAAGATACCAGATTCACCCAAAGAACCTTATCTACCTATACCCCTGTCACTTCTGCAGTATTATGCAGCTGGATTCCTCCTGCTCAGGCACAGAGGCCTCTTAATGAGTGTGGTATTTCTTTGTTGTCAGTTCAGTCTTAGTTAGATTTGCTGATTGACATGTAAATTGTAAGGACAGCAAACTGGCAGCAGAACAGTGGCGGACTGTGAAGTGACCATGAAAACAACTGAGCCAGAAGGCTCATTTGTGAGCCGTACTGTCCTGTTGCATGTTCAGCAGAAAAAAGAAATAGCAAAGACATAAAAGAAGGACTTTTCAAATAAAAAGCTATATTCATAGCACAAAAGCTATTTATTTCCACCTTATTATTCGGCTTAATTCTGGCCTCAGCTTGCGTTCCTCTTTCGTGTCCTCATGTCAAGGTATTTAGCAGAATTTGCAGATTCATTGG